AAAGGAAAAGAAAAAGCGACTTGAATGAAATGGAGATAATACAGAGAGATACGAACTTGTAAAAATCATTAAGCATATCCTTAAAGAGATAAAAGATAATATTGTAGCCATGAACAAAAACAAGAAGCTGTAAAAAAGGAAAACATTCAAAGAAGTAGAAACAACACTTCGAAATAAACACATCATGGTGGGGAAAAGAAAAAAGAAAAACTGAAGAGTTGATAATAGGCCAGATGTGGTGCCTCATTCCTGTAATCCCAGCACTTGGGAGGCTGAGGTGGCGGATCACCTGAGGTCAGGAGATCAATAGCAGCCTGACCAACATGGTGAAACCCCATCTCTACTAAAAATACAAAAATCAGCCAGATGTGGTGGCGGACACCTGTAATTCCAGTTACTTGGGAGCCTGAGTCACGAGAATCGCTTGAACCTGGGAGGCAGAGGCTGCAGTGAGCCAAGATATGCATCATTGCACTCCAGTCTGGGTGACAAGAGTGAGACTCTGTCTCAAAAAAAAAAAAAAAAAAAAAAAGAGGAGTTGATAAAGTTGAAATATTTCAGAAACTAGAGCAAATACAGAAAGAGATGTGGCCGGGTGCGGTGGCTCACGCCTGTAATCCCAGCACTTTGTGAGGCCGAGGCAGGTGGATCACGAGGTCAGGAAATTGAGATCATCCTGGCTAACACGGTGAAACCCCGTCTCTACTAAAAATACAAAAAATTAGCTGGGCGCGATGGCTGGTGCCTGTAGTCCCAGCTACTTGGGAGGCTGAGGCAGGAGAATGGCGTGAAACCCGGGAGGCAGAGCTTGCAGTGAGCCATGATGGTGCCACTGCACTCCAGCCTGGGAGACAGAGCAAAACTCTGTCTAACAAAAAAAAAAATAGAGGATCAGTTCAGGACACCCTCTATCCAAGTAATAGGATTCCCAGAAAGAACAGAAAAATACTGGAGGATAATCATCAAAGAAATAATTTTTTAAAATCTCCCAGAACTGAAGGACGTCAGTTTCCAGATTGAAAAGGCCCATCAAGTGGCTAACTCAATAGATGAAAAGAACCCACACCATGGCAAATTGCTGTAAAAACAGAACCCTGGGAACAAAGAGAAGATCCTAAGAGCTTCCTGCAAGAATGGGAAAAGGGTCACATACAAAGAAGCAGGGATTGGAATGGCATTAGATTTTTAAAGGCTAACATTGAACATTGAAAGACATGGAGGCTGGGTGCCATGGCACATGCCTATAATCCCAACACTCTGGGAGGCTGAGGTGGGCAGATCCCTTGAGCTCAGGAGTTTGAGACCAGCCTGGGCAATATAGTGAGACCTCATCTACAAAAAAAAAAAAAAAAATTAAAAAATTAGCCAGGTGTAGGTACGTGCCTGTAGTCCAACTACTCAGGAGGCTGAGGCAGGAGGGTTGCTTGAGCCCAGGGGATCAAGGCTGTAGTGAGCCATGATTGTGCCACTGCACTCCAGCCTGGGCTACAGAGTAAGACCCTGTCTCAAAAATAAATAAGACAATGGAGCAATGCCTTAACTCCTGAGGAAGAATTATTTTCAACCTGGAATTCTATATCCAGCCAAAGTATCAACAGTGTGAGGAAAGATTAATAACTTTTTAAAAATAATTTCAACTTTTACTTTATTTTATTTGAGAGAAATCTTATTCTGTCACCCAGGCTGGGTGACATCATGGATCACTGCAGCCTTGACCCCCTAGTCTCAAGCAATCCTCTCACCTCAGCCTCCCAAGTAGCTGGGTCTACAGGCACGTACCACCATACCTGACTAATTTTTAAATTTTTTGTAGAGAAAGTGTCTCTCTCTGTTACCTAGGCTGGTCTCAAACTCCTAGACTCAAGTGATCCTCCTGTCTTGGCCTCCCCAAGTGCTGGAATTACAGGCAAGAGTCACCATGCCCAGCCCAACTTTTATTTTAGATTCGGAGGCGGGTTCCTGCTCAGGTTTGTTACATGGGTATATCACATGATATTGAGATTTGGGATACTGTTGAACCCATCACCCAGGAAGTGATTATAGTACCCACAATTAATTTTTCAATCCTTGCCCCCACCTCTCTCCCTCCTCCAATAGTCCCCAGTGTCTATCGTTAACCATATTTATGTTCGTGTACCCAATGTTTAGCTCCCATTTATAAGTTAGAACATGGAGTATTTGATTTTCTGCTCCTGCATTAATTCACTTATGATTATAGCCTCCAGTTGCATACATATTGCTGCAAAGGGCATGATTTCATTATTTCTTATGGGTGTGTAATAACATTTTAAAACATGCACAGCTTCAGTAAATTTACCTCTTATGCCAACTTTCTCAGGATGCTACTAGAGGGAGAGAACCATTCATCCAAATGAAGGAGTAAATAAAAAAGAAGATATGGAATCTAAGAAACAAGGGATCCAGCTAAGGAAAGAGGCAAAGGAATTCCCAAGATAATAATGAAGGGAGATCCCTGGAGGGCAATTTTGCAGCAATGACAGATAGAAGCAGAGCAGAGGGCTCCTTAAGAGATGCCTCTCAGAAGATAGAATAGATAGAACATGTGATGCGTTCGAAAGCCTGCATAGGGAAATTGAGACAATTGAGGGAGTGTTTGAGGTTGACTTACTGATAACTACATAGCAAACTAGGCAATATAATAATAATAATTGTAAGGATAAAATGTCGTAAGAAATAAACAGTAACTATAGTAAACTACATGGCTTAGCTGTGAAGAGCATTTCCAAATCCTAATAAACACTGAGTAATTTTATTACCTATTAGGAGGATGGAAGATGGGAAGGGTATCTGTATGGCAGGGGAGTGGGGAGTGGGATGAAAGTTAAATCCTGGCTGGGCGTGGTGGCTCACACCTTGTAATCCCGGCACTTTGGGAGACCATGGTGGGCAGATTATTTGAGGTCAGGAGTTTGAGACCAGCCTGGCTAACATGGTGACACCCTTTCTCTACTAAAAATACAAAAATTAGCCAGGCGTGGTAGCTCATGCCTGTAATCCCAGCTACTCAGCAGGCTGAGGCAAGAGAATCGCTTGAACCCTGGAGGCGGAGGTTGCAGTGAGCTAAGATCGTGCCACTGCATTCCAGTCTGGGCAACAAGAGAGAAACTCTGTTTCAAAAAAGAAAAAAAAGAAAGTTAAATCCTTAATCTTACATAGTGTGGGAAATCAATAGAAAATGCCTAAAATTTAAATACCAAGAAATAGCAATATAAGCATGTTATATGGAGATTAGGAGGTAAATACCAAAATAAACAGCTAAATAAATAATTATAGTTGTTTCTGGGAAGTAGGACCAGGATGGGAGAACTATTCATGTTCATAATCTTGTGGAACTGTTTGCCTCTTTAATCTCTGTGCATCTGTTACTTTGATTAGAAATAAAACTGGGCTGGATGTGGTGGCTCACACCTATAATCCCAGCACTTTGGGATACTGAGGTGGAAGAATTGCTTTGAGCCTAGGAGTTTGAGACCAACCTGGGCAACAAGGTGAGACCTTGTCTCTACAAAAAGTAAAATTAGCCAGGTGTGGTGCACGCCTGTGGTCTCAGCTCCTTGAGACTGAGGTGGGAGAATCGCTTGAGACCAGGAGATGGAGGCTATAGTGAGCCCTGATTGTACCACTGCACTCTAGCCTGAGTGACAGAATAAGACCCTGTCTCAAAAAATAATAATAAAAGTAAAACTAAATAAAACTAGTTTTAAAAAGTCATTTGTGGCAGCACCTTGGGTTCACAGAGCAGAATGCTAGAGGCAAAGCTATAGAGATGGGCAAGAGCCACGTGTTTCAGGCTTTTGAATGCCAGCTGCTAAGATGTTTAGATTTCATTCTCTAAGAGCAGGGCAGAGTTCCCTGCTATTGTAGATGTTAGGATTCGGCACTCTCTAAGGGCAGTGCAATGCCCATAAAGGCTCTTGAACAGGGAGAGACAGGTTCAGACTTGTGCTTAGGGAAGGTAACAGTGCATCTGAGCTGGAACGGACCCTTGAGATTACCCTGTAAGTCAAATTTACTTCCAGTACAGACAGGTAGACTGGTGTGTACAGGGGAGAAGGCCTGAATGCCCGGCCAGTGGGATTCTGATCATTCTAAGCTCTGGCCAACCCTTTCCCCTCTCGGCGGCTGCTACCAATGCCCTGAAGAGACTAGGGAACCAGGTTACCTCTCTTTATTCCCCAGCTCCTGCCTCCTTTTGGCCCAATCTGCTTCCTGATTAACACCCTATCTGGCTATTCTTTGTTTCTATGTCTTTCTGGTGAATCTGAGCAGGCTCAATAGTCAGTACCCTGTGGCTAGGCATGGTGGCTTATGCTTATAATCCCAGCAGTTTGGGAGGCTGAGGCAGGCAAATCACGTAAGGTCAAGAGTTTGAGACCAGCCTGACCAACATGGTGAAATCCGTCTCTACTAAAAATACAAAATTAGCTGGGCATGGTGGTGCATGCCTGTAATCCCAGCTAACTGGGAGGCTGAGGCAGGAGAATCGCTTGAACCCAGGAGGCGGAGGTTGCAGTGAGTTGAGATCATGCCATCGCACTCCATCCTGGACAACAAGAGCGAAACTCCATCTCAAAAAAAAAAAAAAAAAAAAAAGAAAGGTACCCTAAATATGAAGTTCAAAGCTTAGTAGAACTGGATTTTAATACTTAACATTTACTGAGACCTTCCTCTGTGCTAGGTACTGTGCTGAATACTTAATAGACAGCATTTCAGAATCCTCACAGCTACCCTGTGAGGTAAGTGATTTAATCCTGTTTTGCAAAGAGTCTGAGGCTCAAAGAAGATATGGCTAATCAGTGGTAGAGCTGAAATGTTAGGCAGCAGTCTGTCTGCTTCTGAAGCCCACACTGCAAGCCGTTATAATTCCATCCGTCTTAAAGTGAAACGTAGTTGGCTGAACCACAAGGTAGTGGCCTGTAGAAATGCTGGGGAAACCCACGCCCCAGAACTGGTACTAATTCCTTCTCCCACTCCCCCAGGCTTACCTGCGAGCCATCGATGTGAAGATCCTGCAGCAGCTGATGACCTTGAATGAGGGCATCGAAGCAGTGCGCTGGCTGTTAGAGGAGCGGGGCACGTTGACCAGTCATTGCAGCAGCCTCACCAGCAGTCAATATAGCCTGACAGGCGGGAGCCCAGGCCGCTCAAGGCGAGGCAGCTGGGACAGCCTGCCAGACACCAGCACCACAGACCGGCTGGACAGTGTCTCTATTGGCAGCTACCTGGACACAGTGGCCCCCAGCGAGCTGGATGAACAGGGCCCACCTGGGGTTCCACGTTCCGAGATGGACTGGGCAAAAGTTATAGCTGGTGGAGAGAGGGCCAGGACTGAGGTGGATGCGACAGCCACCAGGCTAGGGAGCTTGAGGGCTGTGTGGAAGCCCCCAGGGGAGAGGCTTCAAGGTGGACCACCTGAGTCACCAGAGGATGAGAGTGCCAAGCTGGGCTTCGAGGCCCACTGGTTCTGGGAGCAGTGCCAGGATGATGTGACCTTCTTGTAACAACTTTTCCACCCTTTTGTAATCCTGTGGCTCTTTTATCTGTTAGCTGTGGTCTCCCCTAAAATTGATTCTCCCTCAGTCTGAGACTAGGAAGAGGCTGCACTGAAATCAGTTACCATAGAAACCTGGCTCATTTCTCTGGTCCCTAGGGAGTCTCTGCCTTTATCCGTAAATTATTGGGTCCCTAGAGCTAGCTTGCTTGCTCTTTCTTTCTTTCTTCCTTTCTTCTTTCTTCTTTTTTTTCTTTTTTTGGGACAGGGTCTTATGCTGTCACCCAAGCTGGAGAGCAGTGGCATGATCACAGCTCACTGCAGCCTTGACCTCCTGGGCTCAAGCAATCCTCCTATCTCAGCCTCCCCCATAGTTAGGACCACAGGCATCCACCACCATGCCCGGCTAATTCAAAAAAATTTTTTTGTAGAGATAGGGTTTCCCTGTGTTGCCCAGGCTGGTCTCAAACTCATGGGCTCAAGGGATCCTCCTGCCTCAGCCTCCCAAAGTGCTGGGATTGTGCCCAGCCCCTAGAGATATTTCTACAGAGATATTGACTCTAAAGGATTGACCTATGGCTTTTGGTGTGAAGTATCTCTCACTGCTCGCCCCAGCTAAGTAAGGGTTTAAGGAATTTAGGACTCCCTGGAGTTAACAGATGAAGAGATGGGGGTATAATTACTTCACCCAAAGTCTAGAAGCCTTGACCCTTCTCTTGGCCAAGATGGAGGATTGAGGAGGGACATGGACCTTCAGGACTAACCCTCTATGGATTGGCCCTCCCAGAAGCGTTTGGGCTGGTAGACCCACCCCTTCCTACCTGCTGAGTGATGTCATTTCCTGCCAGGATGGGTAGTCGTTTGTACGGGTCCTTGGATGGTGGTAGGTCATATAGGGGTATCTGAGCCCCTGCTGCTAAGTGAGATCATATTATTTATCGTCCATGCCATTACTTCTTGTGAACAGGAACATGTCACCCCTCCTGGCAGGAAAGCTGCTCATTGTCATGTTTGTGCTTCTTTTCAGAAGGTTCTTACTTTTTAAATAGAGTGTTCTCATTTTATCCTAGGGGATCTCACTTCCTCTGTGGCTCCATCCCTGCATCCCTGTCTGGGCCAGCACTCCTGACTCTGCTTTTAGGGAAAGAAGCTTTCAGGGGCCTCCATTTATTGCTCTCAAGTTTGTTTGGCTTACCCTGCCACGGTCCCCTGTCTTACCCTGTCCCTGTGTTGCCCCCATTCCTGTATTCCATTTTTCTGTTTTGTTTTGTTCTTTTTTTGAGACAGGGTGACAAGGTCTCCCTCTGTTGCCCAGGCTGGAGTGCAGTAGTGCTCACAGCAGGCTCGACCTCCTGGACTCAAATGATCCTCCTTCCTTAGCCTCCCAAGGAGCTAAGACTACAGGCATGCATCACCATGCCTGGCTAATTTTTGTATTTTTTTCCAGAGACAGGGTTTCACCATGTTGCCTAGAGTGGACTTGAACTCCTGGGCTCAAGCAGCCCTTCCGCTTCAGCCTTTTAAAGTACTGAGATTACAGGCATGAGCTGCTGTGTCTGGCCCTATTCCTGTATTCTGACTCCGTATCTCCCTGCCAGGAGGTTCAGTTTCTGTGTGTCCGTGCCTTTTCAGTTTCTCCAGGCCTTTTATATGCAGATTAGTCCTGGCCTCTCTGCCTGTGTTGATGGAGCCAGGGAGAGAGAAGCTCAAGGTCTCAGAGCTCTGGGGGTGTACCAGAATCTTGGATGGTGGAGGTGTTATCCTCTCTGACTTTGTGACTGCCCTTCCCCCACCCTGTCCCCAGCCTTCCACCATTTGGTCACAAGGATGCCTGCCTGAGGTCGGGACACAAGGAATCTCCTTGTCTGGGCTACAGCGTGGGGGCGTGGCAGGGAAAGACAGAAGCTCTTTGGTTCCTGGGCCCCATCCTGGAAAGGGAGAGGGAGCAAGGGAAAGGCCTGTTTACTTCCTCCCTTAGAGCAAGCCCTGACTCCTGGAACCTGAGGAGGGAGCAGAGTCTGGGTCTCTGAACCTGGGTCCCAGAGCCCTACCGAATTACAAATTACATCATAGAAGAAATTCAGGGAAGTTGCCAACCTGGGGCTCAGAGAGGGGACGGTCCCAGAGAGGGGGACAAGAGCTGTGGCTGGTGTCAGAGAATGAATTCTTAGAGATTAACCCTTTAAACTCTGGGTAACTGCTCCATATGTTAGTCCCTGCCTTTCCTGGGCCTTGAAACTGGGATGCTAGAGGGAAAAAAAGGGAAAAAGATGTCAGATGACTTTGACTGTTCACTGCGTCCTCCTGCAAAAGAGGCATCCTCCTCAAATCCTGGAATAACTCCTGCCATTTCTCTATTTTGTATTCTGTGTTGGGGAAGGGAAGGAAGCCAAATTGATCATCTCTGCTTCCCTAAATTCCTCAAGTCTTGTTTTGAAACTCCCACCCCGGTCCTTCTGGAGCAATATTCAGTCCATGGCTTGTCCCTAAATACCCTCTCTTCCCCTACCACCCCCTCAAATGATTGAAATCTCTAAAGTATATTATCGGCCTCTTCCACTGCTCACAAGACCTCTCCATACCTCTCCTATGGTCTTGGGACTCCTGGCTTCCCCTCAGACTGGGAATTCAAATCTGCTATTCCAGTCCCTGCTCTGTTGTCATTTTGTAGTGTGCCCTCAGTTAATTACCCTTCCTGTTTGTGTGTGTGTGTGTGTGTGGTTTTGTTTTGCTTTGTTTTGTTTTGAGATGGAGTCTCGCTCTGTCATCCAGGCTGGAGTGCAGTGACGTGATCTCGGCTCACTGCAACCTCTGCCTTCCGGGTTCAAGCAATTCTCCTGTCTCAGCCTCCTACATGGCTGATATTACAGACGTGCACCACCATGCCTGGCTAATTTTTGTATTTTTAGTAGAGACGGGGTTTTGCCATGTTGACCAGGTTGGTCTTGAACTCCTGATCTCAAGTGATCCACCCATCTCAGCCTTCAGAAGTGCTGGGATTACAGGTGTGAGCCACCTGCCTGGCCTGTTTTTTTATTTTTAAGACAGGGTCTCACTGTCACCCAGGCGGGAGTTCAGTGGTGCGATCTCAGGTCACTGCAGCCTGGGCCTACTGGGCTGAAGTGATCCTCCTTATCCTCCTAAGTAGCTGCAACTACAGGCACGCTTCACCGTGCCTGGGTTACTTTTTGTATTTTTTCTAGAGACAGTTTTGTCATGTTGCCTAGGCTGATCTCAAACTCCTGGGCTCAAACAATCCTCCCACCTCAGCGTCCCAAAGTGCTGGGATTACAGGCCTGAGCCACCATGCCTGGCCTTTATGTCTTCTTTTTTCTCTTCAGCAACATATTCATGGAATCATACCCTTCTTGGAAGCCATTGTATAGTATTCCCGTTTGAGGTTCACTTGTTCAGGCTACACACTTAGGAGCTGAAGAGGTTGCCCGCCCTCTTGTGGCCATTGTGCACCACTGCTGGAGTTGCGGGATGGAACCTCCAAGCTCAAATAAAACATGGCCTTCTCAGTGCGCAGAAAGGCTAGTGAGTCAGACCTAGAGAGGGCATAGACTTGCCCAGCATCACCCATTGTAAACTTGTGGCGACACCCAGGTCAGAAAACCCAGATCACAAGCCCACATGCCCACAGCTCCATCACTTGGCCAACTATTCCCAGTCAACACCACTGAAACCCAAAGGAACTGAAAGCAATTTTGCCCCTGTTAAAATGTTTGCGTTCTCATCCCTTCCTAAAGAGGCAGCTTAGTCTTTAGAGGAAGAGCTGCAGGCTCTGAGGAAAGAAAACTCTGGGCCTGGACCAGGTGAAGGGGTGAAGGATGCACTAGTCTGGATCACAGATAGGAGGAAAAATCAGTCCTGGACCCACCATTTTCCTGGGAAGGACATCATAGGAACAGAGCTCAGCATTTCAGACCTGGGGGTTAGAAGCAGAGGTGGGGGTGGGGCGCTGTGAAATTAGGAAACTTAGATGGGTCTTGCAGAAATAGGTGTGGCTCCACAGGTCAGGGAATTACAGGTCAATTGGATAGGCACCTGAGAGTGTTGTGGGGCTGGAAAGCTGGGGTGAGTGAGGCTGCCTGGGTATTCCGCTTAGGTCTAGGCATCCTGGCTGAATACCTTAGATTTCAGTTCACCACCAGAGAAGCCCGGAAACTCCAGTAAACACATATCTTTGGTCCCTTCTACCTGCCTCTAGATTGGCTGGTTGAGGCTCAGCTTCTCTCTAACTAGACTTCTGGCTTATAGGGTGCAGCCGCTTGGGAGCGCAAAGAAGGAGAAGGTAAGAAAAAGGAGAGAAATGCAGAGAGAGGAGAGGATGAGATGACGGTGTGGAAAATATCGGAGGGTGCGTACTGCCCTCAAGTGCACTGGGGGCTTTTGTCCAGGATCAGAGTAAAGACAAAGACGAGGCTGCTCATGGAAGCTGCAGAAACAGCGCCTGTGGGAATAAGGGGTGTGAGATACGAGACCATGGGAGTGGGCAATGTAAAGACCTGCATTTATTTATTTATTTTTTTATTTTGAGACAGGGTCTTACTCTGTCGCCCAGACTGGAGCGCAGTGGCACGATCTCGGCTCACCGCAACCTCCGCCTACCAGGCTCAAGTGATTCTCCTGCCTCAGCCTCCTGAGTAGCTGGGACTACAGGCGCACGCCACTACCACCCAGCTAATTTTTGTATTTCTAGTAGAGATGGGGTTTCACCATGTTGGTGAGGCTGGTCTCGAACTCCTAACCTCAAGTGATCCACCCGCCTCAGTCTCCCAAAGTGCTAGGATTACAGGCTTGAGCCACCATGCCCAGCCAAGGCCTGCATTTAGGATGGAGGCATTGAGGTTGAGCACTGAGCTAACTGGAAGCTCAGTGACAGCTTCAGTGAGAAATGCTTGACAGTTATAGCAGACACAAGCTCACTGTGTGTATGGTGCCAGGCACACACTGGGTGTTCAGTGACACCTGTTCAGTGACTGGAAGAATGAATATGTGTAAGCCCACAAGGAGATGTGACTTAAAAAAAAACTTGGTCATTTACAAATTAGGTAATTGAAAATATTTTTAAATTGACTTTTTAGCAATCCTATAAACAGTGCGTTAACAATAGTGTTACTTAGAAATTTGCTCAAGGTCAGTTAAGTAACAAAAGAGCTATAATAACCTAGATCAACCTGACTGCAGGG